CTGGTGTGGCCATGCCACCTTGTGCTTGGGTTTCCAAGCATCCCCCTGGATCCCAAATCCTCTTGGTGGGTCCTGGAGCATCCCACTGTATCCCAAAACCTTCTGCCCCCAGTGTGCCCATACCACTCTGTGTGTGGGTCCCAGAGCATCCCGCTGTATTGTGAAACCTGTGTATAGGTCCTGGAGCATCTCCCTGGATCTCAAACCCTCTTGGTGGGTCCCAGAGCACCCCCCTGTATCCCAAACCTTTTGTAAAGGTCCTGGAGCATCCCACTGTATCCCAGAACCTTCTGCTCCTGGTGTCACCATGCCACCTTCTGCTTGGGTTCCAGAGCATCCCACTGTATCCCAAAACCTTTGTACAGGTCCTGGAGTGTGCCACTGTATCCCAAACCCTCTTGGTGGCTTCTGGAGCATCCCTCTGTATCACCAAACCTTCTGCTCCTGGTGTCACCATGCCACCTTCTGCTGGGCTTCCAGAGCATCCCCCTGTATCCTAAACCCTCTTGGAGGGTCCCAGAGCATCCTGCTGTACCCCAAAAACCTTCTATCCCCAGTGGGTCTGTACCACTCTGTGTGTGGGTCCCAGAGCATCCCCCTGGATCCCAAGCCCTCTTGGTGGCTCCCAGAGCATCTCACTGTGTCCCAAACCTTTCATACAAGTCCCGGAGCATCCCACTGTATCCCAGAACCTTCTGCTCCTGGTTTGGCCATGCCACCTTCTGCTTGGCTTCCAGAGCATCCCCCTGGATCCCAAATCCTCTTGGTGGGTCCTGGAGCATCCTGTTGTATCCCAAACCCTCTTGGTGGGTCCCAGAGCATCCCACTGTATCCCAAAAGCCTCTGTGGGTCCTGGAGCATCCCACTGTATCCCAAACCTTTTGTAAAGGCCCTGGAGCATCCCAGGACTTTCTGCTCCTGGTGTGGCCATGCCACCTTGTGCTTGGGTTTCAAAGCATCCCCCTGGATCCCAAATCCTCTTGGTGGGTCCTGGAGCATCCCACTGTATCCCAAAACCTTCTGCCCCCAGTGTGCCCATACCACTCTGTGTGTGGGTCCCAGAGCATCCCGCTGTATTGTGAAACCTGTGTATAGGTCCTGGAGCATCTCCCTGGATCTCAAACCCTCTTGGTGGGTCCCAGAGCACCCCCCTGTATCCCAAACCTTTTGTAAAGGTCCTGGAGCATCCCACTGTATCCCAGAACCTTCTGCTCCTGGTGTGGCCGTGCCACCTTGTGCCTGTGTACCAGAGCATCCCCCTGGATCCCAAAACCCTGTGCCTGGGTCCCAGAGCATCCCACTGTATCCCAAAAGCTTTGTACAGGTCCTGGAGCATCCCAGTGTATCCCAGAACCTTCTGCTCCTGGTTTGGCCATGCCACCTTGTGCTTGGGTTCCAGAGCATCCTGCTGGATCCCAAACCCTCTTGGTGGGTCCTGGAGCATCCCAAACCCTCTTGGTGGGTCCCAGAGCATCCCCCTGTATCCCAAACCTTTAATACAGGTCCTGGAGCATCCCACTGTATCCCAGGACCTTCTGCCTCTGGTGTGGCCATGCCACC